CGATCGCCGGATCGGCTTTCACCGTGGATGAAGCGGAGTCCAGCCCAGGGTCGTCACATGTGGTTGCCGCAGGCAGGGGCGTAGATTATGCGGGGGACGTGTCCCCCCCACTTTTAATATCACGTAAATTCGTCCCCCGTACTTTTTCAGGCAAGTGTGTTCACATAGCGGTTTTCAAGAGCCGGTGTGAATAAATATAGATTTAAATTTAAAGAGACAGGATAGTCTGTGCATGATCTGATGTTTTATTCAGACCCAGAACAAGGCGAGATGAACATCGCGGAGCGCTAAACACTCATTTTTTGAGCAGCAAATCAAAATATCAGAATGATTTCTGAAGGATAGTGTGACACTGAAGACTGGAGTAACGATGCTGGAAATTCAGCTTTGATCACAGCAATCATTTTAAAATATATTCAAATAGAAAGCAGTTATTTTAAATAGTAAAAATATTTCACAACATTACTGCTTTTGCTGTACTTTGGATCAAATAAATGCAGGCTTGGTGAGCAGAAGAGACTTCCTTATAAAACTTATATAGATTACAGAAATTGTATATTGTAATGTTTTATATATATATATTTTATGTATAACATTTCTGTCCCCCTCACTTCTGAAATGATGGCTACGCCCCTGGCCGCAGGCATCACAATGTGGTGAGGGGTGTAACATTTCCGTCACACGCTTGAGGAATTCGGCCAATCACAACACACTGGATAGCTGACCAATCAGAGCACACCTCGCTTTTTCAGACTGATGAGCTTTGTAAAAATCGACACGTTTCAGAAAGGCGGGGCATAGAGGAGAAACAATAATGTACAGTATGTGGAAAATAATGTGTTTTTTGAACCTTAAACCGCATAAACACATTTCATTACACCAAATACACAAAATAATGTTCTTTTTAGCAGCATCATATGACCCCTTTAAAGAACGTCCTGGTGTATCTTTTTTTATGGCAATAAGTGGTGACCTAAGATGTCAAATCTCAAAAAGGATACAAAAGAACCATGACTCTTGCATGTTGTTATAGTGTTAATGTGAAGCCATACAAAAGTTTTATGTGAGCAATGATGCAAATTTAAGTTATAATCAGTGACTCGATTCATGAGTGACTCATTCATGACGGCACTTCCCAAAAGCAGAAGTAGAACATTCAAACCATTCGGCACCAATAGGCTTACAACAGTGCTCCTGGAAAACTCAGCACAGACTGTTTTTGTGAGTAAGAACAACTGATTTGTTGAAAAGATCTGAGACATGAGGGTTCAGATACAATGACAGAAGTTCCTTTTTTTTTTGGTGAACTATCAATGAGTGACAGAGATTTTAAATTCATGTTTCTTTTGTTGCATCATCACAACGTGAAAAAACATTATCCCACCTTGGATGCATTAGCGCACTTACTGTACGCGTAGTAGTGCGATTAAGATGTAACTTCCACTAAACACCCTTGCCTCAGTGAGGAAGTGATGTGTACATGAATTGTGCGTAATGTTCCTTCACAGATCTTTAGCGTGATGAACAGCTGTGAATCTTTTATGTGAGAATTTGAAAGATGAAAACAGACTTGAGGTGTTGCAGTGCTTTATGGGATTGCAGAATGTTACAGTACATGCTTTATGTGATTGAAAATAGAGAGTGTATGTGCAAGCGTGTCTGTCTTATTAATCTGAGACCCATTCTTGGGTTTGACGACTCATTCTGTGTCTGACACTTAGTAATGACCTATAAATATGTGCCAGCAGCAGTGTTCCTCATTTGATTGTGCTGTAGACTTCATACTCTTGTACTAGCCTATGTGAGTGGGTATGTTTACTAGGGTTTTTTATTAGTGAGATCGAAGGATGTGGTTCTATCAGTGGGGTGAAGCTCTGAAAACCACTTAGCCACTCATCACCTTGGAGACGGTAAATTGAACCTATTGCTTCTGCTCCTTACAGTTCATACCAGGAAGAGATAACCACACAAACACACACTCGTGCAAAAAACTGAACCTGAAGACCGTGAGAACTGTCTGTTCATACTTATGGTGAGGAAACAGTTTTTACTCTGAAATTTTAATTAAATTTCACACAAAATTAAAGAAGTGGCAACTGGCAAGTAACACGTTGATTTTAAATGTGAAAAACTGAAACGGAATGTTTTCTTGTGAAAACAAATTACAGACACATCATACATTCATTGTTTTTCCGTCCTCTAAATGTACTTCAGTGAAAATGGCCCCTCTTTATACTGTTCATAACATTCACAAACCACATAAGCTTGTGCCTTCGACCACCACCTCTTTATTATTTCAGACACAAGGTTTGTTGTAGTTGATGCACAAATAGGTAGTGACTATTTGAGGATTCAAGTGTGACTCCATAAGCCTCCAGGCCCTGGGGCTGTTTATGACTTACAAGAAAGCGAGAGAGTGATGGAAGGAGAGAGAGACAGGAAGATGAAGAAAACTGTCTAGCCGACTGAAAACTGCAATTACGATGTTGAGATAATGGGACAAAGCATCTGATATCCGTTGAGCATTCAAACCAGGGCTCTCCCTCTGTCTTCTCTGCCTCCAGCTCATGCTTCCATTTATGTGGATACACACACACACACACACACACACACACACACACACACACACACACACACACACACATACTTGTATTTGTGGTTTACGGGGACTCTCCATAGGCGTAATGGTTTTTATACTGTACAAACTGTATTTTCTATTGCCCTACACCAACCATACACCTAAACCTACCCCTTACAGGAAACTGCTGGCAATTTTTTAATTTCATAAAACACCGTTTTGTATGTTTTTTAAGCCTTTTGTTTTACGGGGACACAGGAAGTGTCCTCATAAACCATGTTTACGTTGTAGTACCCATGTCATTATACACATTTGTGTCCTCATAAACCATGTATACCTGTACACACACACACACACACAGGTTTGTTTTTGTGAATTGTGGGGACATTCCATAGGCGTAATGGTTCTTATACTGTACAATCTGCACGTGCTATTGCCCTACACCAACCCTACACCTAAACCTACCCCTTACAGGAAACTTTGTGCAGTTTTACTTTCTCAAAAAAACTCACTCTGTATGATTTATAAGCGTTTTGAAAAATGGGGACATCCTTGTAATACCTATGTCATACCCATGTCATTATACAAATTTGTGTCCTCATATGTCACAAAAACGCACATACACACACACGCACACAAATTAAAAACTTAATGATATTAGATAATAAAATATTATATAATAAAAATATTACTAACCTTAAAGGGATACTTAATACAAAAATGAAAATTCTTATCATTCCAAACACATAAGACTTTCATTCGTCTTTGGAAAACAAATCAAGATATAAAAAATTTTCTTTCCTCGTTTTTGAACATCCATTTGAAAGTCGACGTAACATTTTCTAGTTTCAAGAAGTTCATAAAGACAAGGAATCCAAATGAATCAAGTGGTTTATTCTAAAGTTGCACTGCAGGATTTTAGTCACAGTTTTCACTCGCCGACAGTTTTGTGGAAATCGCCAACAAATGACCAAAATCGGAGGCAAATTGGCGCTCATTCACGTGAGAGACAGTTGCGTAGTGTTATGAAAGAAGCGATCTGAGAGAAGCGCCGATGCCCATGAGATATTAAGCATGCTAATTATCTGGACCTGTCGCCGACTCCGAGTCCTGTTGTGTGAAATGTGTTTTGACTGAAAATGACATCGGCGATGACCCTACAGCCAATGAGAGAGCACGATACAGAGCAAGGGGAAGTTCAGGGAGGAGTCATAGACCTGCAACAAAACCTCAGCAACCACGGCTTCAGCAAGCAACCATTCTCTCCTTCATATTCTCATTTTTTTCCTTTTTTTTTTCTCTCGCTGCAAACCAGTGTGAAACCAGCATAATTGTATCACAAGTTTCTCTCGGGCTACAATTTTAAAACGAGAAGAAATCCAGTCTCGCGCGAGAACTCCTGCATCATGCTTGATCTTACGTTATTTCCTGCATCACTTCTTGCATGTGTTCAGTTGTGTTCTTTTTTTTTTGTTTGAAGCACAGTTTAACTTTTGTTTACCATTTTGATTGGCTTTATATATGTGCTGAAGCTGATTAGTGTTTAGATTTGAATAAAAGCCTTGAATAAAAGCCTCGGTACACTTTAACCGAAATCGAAGAATGCACTGGTGTGACATTTTTCCAAACAAAATCAGGCCAAAACTAAGTTTGTTTGGAGTCGTTTTATTTTGAAACTGCTTGCCAAAGTGAACTTTAACTTATCATTAGTCTGTGCTGATTATGTAATAGGCTCTGCCTTCTTTTACGCAGAAATCTTCTCTGTTCATTTCTTCTGTTCAGTCTTTCTTGGTCAGATGCGAGTAAAAACATGAACACACTAATGCAAACATATCCACATCGCTATGATCAGTGCTTTCTTAACTGCAGTTTTCTCACTACTGTCATTTTTGTTGTGCTTATTTTGGTATTAAGAGGAATGTGCGCACCACAAATGTATATATTCATTTAAACACTGCTTCCAGCAATGTGGGCGGGGTTGGGATGTTCACTAACAGTGTACTGCACTGGGGTATTTTGATGGGGTTTTTTAATCCTTCAAAACAGTGTTGTCATTAAAAGTTTCTTGTCGAGAGAGCTAGAAAAGAGCTTTTGGGTTTATAAAGGCTATATTTATACCAGCTCCAACGAACAGGTTAAAACTTGTTTCTTGCACTATGTATCATGATTGAGTTTGCTGGTTGGGAATTGAATTGATATTTTGGACGGCTTGTCTTTAATTGCCTGTATGACACAATTTTCTCCTTTCAATTCCTCTTCCGTCTCTTTCCTTTTTCTTTTTCTTTCCTGCTTTTATGGCGCTCTATGTCTCCTCATCTGCTTTAAGCTGAATGTGTGGTTATGTATACCCATTTGTAGAATAAGACTCAGAGTCTTGTAAGATGCTGTTTGAAATGCATTTGCATAATTAATGTTCACCAGACTTTTCTAAAGTGTAAAATCCCTATTTTTCCCTCTCCATCTGATATACTCCCTCATTCCCTTTTGAATTGGCCTACAGAGGTTTAAATCTGATCAAGATCTCCAAATGGTGTCGTAATCCTAGCTCAAATCCGTTCTGAAATGACAGCAGATATGAGTGGAGCTCATTATAGCTTGGAAACCAACTCTCTTCCCTTTAACCTCAACTCAAGTGATCAGACATGAATATGCATATTTTAACTGTTCATTTTGAAGGACTGAATGTCAGATCTTTTCACAGCATGAGGTTTAGAAAATAGAGCGGAATACTCCTAAAATGAGAAAGAGATGGAGATGTAGAGAGAGAGAGAGAGTCTTATTCTTAAAGACGAATGGTAACTAGCAATGGCATAGAATGGAGTAATTAAGGAAAAGAGCCAGAGGGTGAGAAAGAGGGAATTCTGAAAATTAGAAAATGAAGTTCGCAGAAAGGAAAGAATGAAAGACAGAAACAGTGTTGGAGAAGCTGGTTTGAAACTGTAGATTCCCAAACGACACCCTTCTCATAGCTAGTAGTTAAAGGAACACTCCACTATTTTTGAAAATAGGCTCATTTTCCAACTCCCCTAAGAGTTAAACAGTTGAGTTTTACCGTTTTCGAATCCATTCAGCGATCTTCGGGTCTGGCGGTAGCACTTTTAGCTGTAGCTTAGCATAGATCATTGAATCTGATTAGACCTTTAGCGTCTCGCTCACAAATGACCAAAGAGTTTCTATATTTTTCCTATTTAAAACTTGACTCTTCTGTAGTTACATTGTGTACTAAGACTGACTAAGTTGTGATTTTCTAGGCCGATATGGCTAGGAACTATACTCTCATTCTGGCGTAATAATCAAGGAACTTTGCTGCCGTACCATGGGTGCAGCAGGCGCAATGATATTACACAGCACCTGAAAATAGGATAACATCCGTCAACATAACCAACGTGATCGCCTGCTTGACCCGGAGATTGGCTGAATGGATTAGAAAACGGTAAAACTCAACTGTTTAACTCTAGGGGAGTTGGAAAATGAGCCTATTTTCAAAAATAGTGGAGTGTTCCTTTAACTTGCATTATATTAAGTTACATTGTCAAATTTTATTGAATAGGTTTGTTCAGAAGATTCATGTGAATTAAGTGGTTTTAACCCTTTTTGAAACACTTGCTTTACCTCTTCAAACCAACTGATTCACTGAAATGAAATGCTGTTGTTTGTCTCTTTTTAACTCAAATTTAGCATTTTCTAGTTTTATTTGGTGTTTTCTTGCTAAATATAACTAGTAGAATTATAAAACATGCAAAATCCTACAACTGAGTTGAAAACAATAGCATGTTGTTTTAGTGAATTGGTACATTCAGTTGATTCACATAAACCAAGCGGTTTCAGCTTCTTGTGAACCCCTTGATTTAACTGTCCATACAACCTTTTCACTAAAACAAAATGCTGTTTTTCACTTAATTATGCTGAATTCAGCATTATCTGTCTTTATTTAATGTTGTCCTGCTCAATACAACTAATAAAATTATAAAACATCAAATTCTTCAACTCAGATATTGGTTTCCTGAATTGGTTCATTAATGTAAATCACATGGTTTTAAGTTTTTTTTCTCTCAATCTGCTAGATTAACATGAATCACTCACACTAATCGATTCACCAAAATGAACCAGACTGTCCAGTGCTATATAAGAGGGAAGGAAGTTTAGAAGAGCTTGTTCAATTATTGCTTTAGTTTGCTCAGCTGCAGTGCTACATGTGCAAACAATGTGATTTTTAAAACAGGAGTGTTGCGATTTAACATGTTACAGTGGAATCTGTTGGAAACAGAAAACTATTTTAAATGCATCGCGGTGGATACTGTCACGCTGTAGAATTTGGCTACAGTAGCGTCAGTACTTTTAGTTACTGTTACTCCCCAATATTTGACAGAAAGAACAGAGAAAGAGGAAGACTGGAAATAAGGAGGATATTCAATGAAAAGGAAGCTGAGGGAGTATGAAAAAGAGTGCAAATATGAATGGACGAGTGCCCACTGGGGATGTTCAGGAACTGGCAGGTGTTTATCTGGCTTTTTGAGATAAATTGCTGCCTCTCTCCTGTGTGTTTGCACTCACGCGGGGGTCTGTGTGATGTTTACTTTGGTAGGTCGTGTTTGGAGGATTGTGAATTTGCCTGTGTGTTTGCTGTGTTTGGTAATGAGAATTATTTATTTTCTGTAGTGATGTGATATATGCAGTTTTTATTCTAATACCATTTATTTCAACAAAGGTCTGTTTTGAATGTGTATTTCACTAAACAGCCAGTGGGTAATTAGACTGATTTAGCTGATATAGCTGTTTCACAAACCTGCAGTTCTGGTTCTCAATAACGGATAAGACTAAAAATGTCTTGCATTTCAGTGCTTGAGAGTGTTTGACTGTTAACTTGTGATTTATTGACAAGAAAGAGCAGTTAGAGTTTACTATTATCGCCTTCTCCGCAGGCTCACTTTCTGGCTATTGTGATTAATTACAGCAAGCACAATTAATTATCAAGGATCCTGGATGAATCAGAAGGCCCTCGAATGTGGACAGAATTTCTACTATAGAGATGTGCTCACAAGATCACCGTTAAGAGAGAGAAAATAAGTGTGAACACTGAAATGGGGATTGCAAGGCAGTCTGCAGAGACGGGGAAGAGACAGAGAGACAAGAATGACAGGAAGCCAGCGATAAAGGGAGAGAGAGCGAGAGGCAGTAGAGACGACAGCCATTTGGGAACAAGCTAAATTGCTTTGTGTATTTCATGGCCAGCTTCATCATCAAAGCTAATTACTAACAGCTCTCTAAAGCCCTCTATATTTATCCATCCATTGATCGTGTGCATGTGTGTGAAATTTTGAGTGCGTGTAGCCCTAATTTTGCAAGGAAGCTTATGCCTCTATTTAAAGGTAGATAACGATTTTTTGTTATTGTTGATCTAGCCTTTGATATTTTAGTCCAATTCAGCACAAGCTGAGATTAGACTTACCGGGAATGTTGGTACTCAAGGCCCATAAGAAAGTTGCAGACATGGGGGTACTTTAAATGTAAAGTACATTTAGCAAGACTCTTTCTTTAGTCTTAAAATTTTTATTTATAATACTTAAGAAAAAGATCCAGATACACAGACTATAATGAACATATGTGACCCTGGAGCATTATCTGTATTATCATTAGTAATGTGCATTGCTAAGAACTTAATTTGGACAACTTTAAAGGCGATTTTCTCAATATTTAGATTTTTTTGCACCTTCAGATTCCAGATTTTCAAATAGTTGTATCTCGGCCAAATATTGTCCTATCCTAACAAACCATACATCAATGGAAATATTATTTATTATGATTATGTAGAAATCTCAATTTCAAAAAATTGACCCTCATGACTGGTTTTGTGGTCCAGGGTCACATACTGTATATTCTTCATCAAGTCAATGTGAATTTTCTAACCCAGTGCATGTGTGTTTTCAGGACATCTAACAGCAATGCGACTTTGTCCTCATGTGCGTCGATGGAGCCGTGTGTGTCAGATGAACATTTCCAGGCACACAGTCACGCTGAACACACCTTCAGACGCATGGAGGCTTACCTGAGGACCCGGAAACTCTGTGATGTTGTCCTTCTTGCCGGAGAACGCAGAATACCTGCACACAGGTAAAAAAACCCCAAAAAAAACAGTACATTCGCATTTCAGATGGTTAATTGAAATCACAACCAAGCCGTACAATTTTGCACTGGAATACAAGCAGAAACAATAAACCAGTTTGCATCAAATAATGGTGGAGTCTTCTCTGTGAAACATATTAAAGACATTACAAATGATATCAAATAGCCTCAAACTGAACCACAAAAACTTTAGTAAATCCAGCGACAAGTTTAAGTTTTTCTTCAGCCTGGGTAAATCCAGTCCATGCTGCTGAATCATAAATGCCCTGGAGATGCTGGAGATGAGTGATGGTAGTTACAATTTACTGCTGAATGTAGCAGTAGTGGCACATTTATAGCACAGCTCATTGTCAGCAAGTATTGCAGTTTCTGATTTTGACGAATAAAACTTTGGACTTTTGAAACTGCCATGGTACTATTTTGTGTATGATTTTTGATAAAGTGTAGTGTCTGTTATAGCAACAGAATATTTGGAATAAGTTATGGTTACAACGGATGAAAACTAAAATGATACTTAAAATAACTTTATGCCCAATTTAAAATAATTAAAACTAAATTAACAGGCAATTGAAGAGTGGATGTGCATCTTGTCTCTTGTAAACTTGCCATAGATTATATTTGCAAATACTATATGGAAAATTAAGTGTTGGCCAATATTTGACCAGATCTTAATAATGCCAGTCAAGATTTCTTGCGTTAACCAAAAACGTAATTTAACTTTACATTAAACCTTATCTTTACAAAACCCTTTTGTTCCTCTCTTTGAAATCTGAAAACACAGATCTCAAAAAAGAACAACAGTGATATAATTTTAAGGGAAAGTTATTAGCTTAGGTTTTTTTAGATGTTGCTGTGACATGTATGTTTTAGATTTACACTGCTCTGAACACATACATATGATTTTGATATTCACGAGAAAGCATAGCCTATGACAAGTGAGATTTCCCTGTGATGCTGATAGAGTGACAGGTGTTCAACACGTATGTGTCACACAAGAGTTTGTGGAGAGGTGGACGTTTGTGTTAAACGATTAAGCTACTTATATTTGAGAATCAGTGTTGTGGAACAATTTAAAGATACACAGGAAACAACAGTCTCAAAAGTTATTAAAAATGCAAAAGTGCATTCACATATATTTTCAGTTCAGAGTACAAATGCAAATGACTGTATTTATATGTATATTCAATTACAGATATAAAGTGATCTGTGTGTATTGTGTAATGTATTGCAAACATACAAGACAGATTAGAAAAATTATATTACAAAATATATGTGTGCATTTTGTTGCATGTGAGAAGATTTTATACTCTTAACGTTTATTAAAGTGAAAAAAAACGTATCAGACACAGTTGTTGTGTCCCCCCCCCCCCCAACCCTTTCCACACTTTTTCTCCCC